ACATCTGGCTGACCTCCATTATGAACTTGCTTATGGTCTGCCTCTGAGTGGAGGGAGGGGAGGGCATGCATGACAAATAATTTCAAGTAGAGGAATGGACAAATGATCCTGATTTGAGGCTCTCCCAGGCACCCAGATAGAGGGCTTACTTAGCCCAATCTTCCACAGACTCATTGAATTCTACAATCTGACAAGGAGGATGCCCTTGCCTTCATTTTACATATGAAATGAAGAACCACGCTGAATAAAAGAGTAACAGATAATTGAATAATGAAAGACTGAGACGTGGGGTTATCAGAACAGCATACTTTCCAGGATTCTCCAAGTACTGGTCTGATAGAAAACAAAGTCATCTACTTAAAAAAAAATCTGGGGCTGGGAAGGTGGCTCAGTGGTAGAGTGCTTGCCTTGCATGCATGAGGCCCTGGGTTTGATTCCTCAGCACCACATAAGCAGAAAAAGCCAGTAGTAGGGCTGTAGCTCAAGTGGTAGAGCGCTTGCCTTGAGCTGAAGAGCTGAGGGACAGTGCCCAGGCCCAGAGTTCAGGCCCCACAACTGACAAAAAAAAAATCTTAACTCCTTTTTCTTGCTATTTACCTAAGTGGAAGGCAACTCAGGGAGCAAAAATATTGCTTTCAGTGACCCTAGTACAATGCTGCAAGTGGAGGAAGGACTTGCTGCTTTGTTTGCTGATTTGTTCCCATTGTAAACACAGACAATAGAGATGTTTCCTGACTGTACAAACAGTTCTTACTTCCCTGCCCAATTACTTGGTTCTAGTTCAATCCCTGTTCATTTTTCTTATTAATGACCAAGAAGAAGTGGAAGCTTGAACATTCATTAATTTGCTCAAAAATGTGCTTTCATGGAATATAAAAGAACATATGTTTCTTTTGCTAAGCATCTGCCAAAATGACAAACCAGTGCTAGTGAGTGAATCTGGTAACTTCACTATCCAAAAAAATGTCAGATTTTTCTAGAAGGAAGGGCCGGTACCATCAACCTTCTCTGTCTACCTCTCCAAATAATCTCATCTAGTCCCACAGCTATTAATACTATCTACAGATTGTTTACTACTGTTCAATCAGCTGGGAGTCCAGAAAGGAAAACAGAATCCATGCTGGTGAAGGACATCAGCAAACTGGTTAGGTCAGCTTGCCCTCTCCCCCATGGGTGACTACCACCCAGGGGAAGGTCTAGCCTCCTACAAGCCACTATGCAGGGAAGGGCCTGGGGTTCTGCCATGTATCAGGCCAAACCCACCTTTTTCAGACCATCACCCAGGTGAGTGCCTGACCTGTTTCAAACAAACCAATCATGGGCTGAGGCCAGCCCACCATCCTGGAGGAGGTGGGGCCTGATTCAAGCATAGCCAGTCATAATCAGATTGCCTGAAGAAAGCTGGGGAAGAGTACAGAGGCAACATAAAGCAATAGCCTAGACCTTTCTTGAGTGGCCTTTATTTCCTTTTTACTAAATAAACTCTGGTATTACTTCAATACTACCAGAGAATAAGAACCCACCATGCTCCTTGCTTGTGTCTTATGCATCACTGGATAATGTAATAGAGAACTGAATCCTGGAGGCAGTTACAATGATGTGGAGAAAGCTGTAAGTTCAGACTGAGGAGTTGAGACGGCCCAGAAAATAACAAGGTCAGGAAGTTGCTATCCTGCCTGGGCTAGAGAGGAAGTAGGGAAGAAGATTACCAGAGTTCAAGAATTGTGGGAGCAGGGACCCTGGAGGAGAGCCTACCACATGGGAATTCTAATCACCAGGAAGATGCATTAATGCTGGAAATGCTGCCCACAACAAAAAAAGGGGAATTACTCTGGCTTTACCCCTCTTCCTCATCGTGGTCTTCCGCAGGTGCCTTCCATTGGCCAACCCTTCCCAGTAGCTAGTTGGCAAAGAAGCCTGAGAAATGTCGTTTGCATGGGTCAACTTTGAGCATTCCAGTCTTCTTCCTGCCCTCAAACCCATACAGAGTACATGAGGAAGAGCAGGCCATGAGCAAGTCCAGCAAAGGATGAATGCTACTCCTAAATTACTATCTCTAATGCAGACCCCTTCTTTGAGCTCAAGATTCTTCCCTTATCTGAAAACTCTAAGTGTCTTCCAGTTCCTTCTAAGTTAACATGGCCACCGAGCCCACAACTACCTTTAAGATTTCCCCTTTGGTCCAGGAAAAGGAAAAGAGGGTTTTCTTCTTTATTTTTCTTTCTTTCTTTCCTTTCTTTTTCCTTCCTTTCTTTACTTCTTTCTTTTTTCTTTCCCTTCCTTCCTTTCTTTTCTTTCTTTCCTTTCTTTTTCTTTCCTTCCTTCCTTCCTCTTTCTTTCTTCTTTCTTTCCTTCTTTCTTTTCTTTCTTGTCTTGTTTCTTCATTTATATGCCTTTGGGAGGACAAGGGGAGGCACAGAAATGGAAAAAGAGTGAACAAATGCAGCAACGGCAATCACCAGACATTGTTGAAAATGAATTGTACAACTTCTGGATGGGGACAGAAGGGAAAAACTGGGAGAAAGTGAGGGAAGGAATGATACTGTCCAAAACAATGTACTTTTTTGTCAGTTGTGGGGCTTAAACTCAGGCCCTGGGTGCTGTCCCTGAGCCTTTTTGTGCTCAAGGCTGGCACTCTACCTCTTGAGCTACAGCACCACTTCCAGTTTTTGAGTGGTTGAGAAAAGAGTCTCATGGGGACTTTTTCTCCCTGGGCTAGCTTTGAACTATGATCCTCAGATTTCAGCCTTCTGAGTAGCTAGGATTACAGCTTAGAAATGTACTATTTACCTGACTTATATAACTGTAATCCCTCCTGGACATCAACTTCATAATAATAACAAAAATTTTAAAAAAGATTTTCCCCTTGAGTGAAAAATCACCCACGGTTATAAATGTGGGTATGACCACTGCAGGCCGGATGGCCCGGTACCTCTATAGGTGATGAAAGTGACCTCCTAACTTGCCAAGCACTCCCAGGGGGCAGTTCTTGTTGATCCTGAAGGCAAGAAGGCTTTATTCTGAGTCTTTAGGACTCCTTAAAGGAACTAACACTGAATTAATTTTAAAAAATTAGATCTTAATGAGATTAATCAAGCTTCTTTGTAGGAAATAAAGTAGAAGGGAACAAAATTCAACTATTCAGCAGTCTTCTCCTCTTTTCTCAGTGTCCCCTCCTTTGCAGCTACTCCCCTTCTGCTGATCCTCCAACAAGCCAAACTTGTTCCCTCCCTACAGTCTTTCTGCGATCTGTGTGGAAAGCTTGTCTTGATTTGATCACTTCTGGCTCCACATCACAGAGGCTGTACCCTCCCTGAGATCTTTCTTGACTAGGCCAGACAGTGACCTTGGCTGTTCACATCTCTCTCCTTTGGAGCACCAAGTTGGATTGCACTTCTCTGTCCCCGGGACCTTAGAGGTGTTATGACTGGCTTTTGGCCAATGAAACTGGGGTGGGAGTGATGTATAGTGCTACTGGTCTCTGCCTGTTTTGACCTTATGGTTCTGAGTAATTGGAGTGGGGATAACAAGCATTCACAGCAAAAACCCTCCCAGCCCACAGGTACTTAGCTTGAGAAAGAAGGCCATCTTTGTGTGTGTGCTGGTTACTAGGGTTTGAATTCACAGTCGTGCACTACTCTTGCTTAGTCTTTTTACCCAAGGCTAGGACTCTACCATTTGAGCCACAGCACTACTTCCATCTTTTGCAGATAAAGAGTCTCAGAGATGTTAGCTCACAGGCATAGGCCACCAACACCTGGCTAATCCTGGCTTTTTATTTTTCTTTATGGGTCCTGGGGTTTGAACTCTGGGTCTGAGGGCTATCCCTAAGCTTTTCTTTGCTCAAGGGTAGTACTCTACCTCTTGAGCCACACTGCATTTTTTTGTGTAATTTATTGGAGATAAGTCTCATGGACTTTCCTTTCTGGGTTGGCTTTGAACTGTGATCCTTAGCTCTCAGCCTCCTGAGTAGCTAGGATTATAGGTATGAGACACCAACGCCTACTGTCCTGCCTGGTTTTAACAAAACATTTTTTTCTCCTTTTGCAATACTGAACTCTAGGCCTTAAAAATGTATTCTATTCTCAGCAAGGGCTATACCACCAAACTACATTCCAACCCAAACCTACCATTTTAACTTTAAAAGGCTGATCTCTTAACTCCTGAACTCTGTGTACCCTTTGCCCTAGCCTCTGAGTAGCTAGACCTATAGGGATGTTCACATTTGTTCTAAAATATGTTTTCTACTATCCCATTATGTAATTGTAATAAAGCTATCAAGAAGATAAACCCAGTATATGAAACTAATCCTGTAATAAAGTTTTGTATTTTTGTTCCTCACTTAAATTGTTTTTCTTGAATTTTCATGTTAAAACACTAAAGAAACAAGCTCCCAAAAACTAGGGAATTATTTTTAATAGGATATACTAGTTTCCTTAAGTAACTGCAGCCTACTTCTTTAATTTTCTCTCTTTGGCCCTAAATAGACTATAACTTACCTTAACAAACAAAGGATGGCATCTCCTTTACAAAAATAGTACATTACCAGAATACCCACCAAACATCTATGTGAAATGATCAACTTTTAACATTCACTGATGGCAATTTCTACAATCTTATTCTACATGCATTCAGTCTTACTATCCAAGCCCTAACCCTAAAGTTCAGGTACTATGCACCTGTAGCTAAAAAAAGTGATTCAAAAATAAGGGAAGAAAACCATGGCCAGCCCCTTCCCCCTCCCCATGTGTTCCAAGCTTGAATACTGCAAGTCTCTCCAACACAAAGCCATATTCACACAGGGGAAACCATTAACACATGGTTAAGGAAACAGGAAATTTTCACACTGGATTGAATATTTACATTTGACTGAAATTTTCCTAGATTCAGGCATGACTACTAACACTTTTTCAAAAAATTAGTATTATTTAACTGTGTCTTAAATAAAAAAATAAACTAGACAGAAAATGTACAGTTGAAGAAAACTGGATGTCAGTCTATACAATGATTTACTTTCGGCATGACAGACTTTATTTTGGCACTTTCACAAATATTTTGCTTTACAGCAGTGACAAAATATTTGCCAGAAATTTCTTTTTTCCTGGCACGGATATTATATATTTATATATGTATATATTCCAAGCAAGTTATTCTATGAAGAGAATCTCACTCTGCCTATACAGTTAAAGGTATCCCCACTACATCCTTAGTCTCTGGAGGTGAGAGACCTCGTGCAGTTTTAGAAAGTCCTTTTAATTATTCTATACAAAGTGAACAATGCCTGTAGTGATGGGAGGGGGAACTTGAGAATTAAGGCCATTAATGACTTAGGTAAAACATTTCCAAGTATTGCCTTAAAAACATTTTTTAAAAAATGAGTTGTGTGGCAATTCCAGGGAAAATTCTCTAAATAAAGTGTTAGAAACCTTATTAAAAGTAAATGATATGTTGGAAGAGTTGCTGTTTATGCTGTCCATCACACTCCCATGGCTCACAGTTTAAAGCAAAATTAATGGCAAAATAGGAAAGGGGACTGTTCAGTACTCTAAGTACCTGGACAGGGTACTGCCATACCTTCAGCTTCTCTTTTCTAGAAACTTCTAGGAAGGTATCACTCTTTCTAGAAACTTCAGCCATAAGCAGCAAAGATCTCCCCTAATGCATAAAATTTCCCAGGCCTTTCTTTACTTTTCTTATGAAGTGGGCTGGGCTGTTCAGCACATGGGGTCTATAGTTTTGATTTTCAGGAAAGCTTTAGGACACGTTCAAAGGTAAATCTACCTATTTCCAGAAAGGCCCCCTCAGTTCTTTGGAATTTTATAACCTTCAGTTATTTGCCAAAGCAAGCAAGCATCTGTCTCAATATTGCCATCAGCTATTATATGAAAGTTTCAAACTTTAAAATTCCCTGGCAGCCTTCCAATACTGGTACCAGACACACATAGGAGCTTACATTCATTTCCTCTGTCCAATCCAGAAGTGAATCTGGTAATAAACAGCCTTAGCAATGGGCTCTTTGGTCTTGATTTATACACACTGTGGAACACTCAGAAATCAAACCATGTCATCCTTGAGAGCAGACGGTCTCATTAGCAAAGGGGACATGTACATTTGATCGGAAAATGTACAAAATTTATAACAGTGACATTTTCAATATTAGGCCATATGATTTATTCAGTAGTTTTTATGTTCCCAAATTACAATTTGTCTATTCGTAAATCTACAAAAGTTACCATTAGAATTGTCTGTGCTTATAAAATACCAAGTTTTGTTTTTAAACTGTTTTATATACTCAAGAACACCAGTCTGCGACGAGTTACATAGAATCATAGGCACTTCAAAGGCTTAAAAAGATGTTTACAACTTAAATGAATTTTTAAGAACAAAAATTGTTTCTTTCAACTCCTCCTCATACCTTCAAATTGCAAGAAATTAACAAATACAGTGGCCAAAGGAATCTGCAGCAACTGCTCAAATACTGTTTGCATCTTTGGGTTTGCTAAAGCTTATCAGTAACTCACATATCAGGTCTTCCTAAAAGGAGATCTGATCAGAAAGATAGGATTAAATAGTCTTGGAGTTGTAATCCGATTTTACACATTAATTTGTGGTTTCAAATCTGCCCGAAGCTACAGGTAATGAAACATAAAAGCAAGTGTAAAATGGATAGTCCTGACATTTAAAAATTTACATAAAGCAGAGGTTAAAGTTTACATATTTGAAAAATCACATATACACTAAATTACCATTATCTGAGTCATTCCAAGAAGACAAATTACACCAGGACAACTACAAAAGGGCTTGGTTTTGTTTTCTGAAAGGGATAAGAAGAGAGGAAAGAGAATAAAGGACCAGAGATAAATTAACAAAGTCAGACTAACTCAGTAAGGTCAATCAGAGACATGCTGACAAATGAAACAGCTTTTGTCTTCCAACCAAAGGACAAAAACCAAAAAGCCAAAACAAAACAAAATAACCTAAAGAAACAATCATTTTGTATTTGCCCATCAAAAGTTTTGAAGGTTTTCAGAACATAATATAATATTTTGCCACTGCTACTCACAAGAACACTGCAGATGTTTTTCAATTTTACTTCGGTTCTAAAGAAATACATGAAAAGTTTTAAATACAATGGGATTTTAGCATTAAAGTGCCAGAATGGCTCTTCAATGAACAAAACAAAACAAAACCCCAAAAAACAAAAACGAAAACAAAACAAAGATCTTCATTATTCTATGCAAAAGCTTTATTTTGAAAAGTTCAGCGATCTCATAAATAGAGACCCTAAGAGGGAGTTTTAGGCATAAAACTCCTTAGTAGGTGCCTTCTGATAAGCAGCACTGGATGGTTTGCGTTCCCCAAGGTCGTAGCTTCCTTCATCCTTCTTTCTCATGCGGTAGACCAGCAGCAGGATGAGGAAGATGGCAAAGAGGAAGCCGATCACTCCACCCGCGATGACAGCTGAAATCCACCAAAAGAGAATATTATTTTCTCCTGGATCATTTCCTGTGTACATGTGTGCCATTAATGGAAGCTTGAACTCAGGGCGACTAGGTGCTATCCCTTTAGCTTGTTCACTCAAGACTAGTACTCTAGGAAGTGGCGCTGTAGCTCAAGTGGTAGAGTGCTCGCCTTGAGTTGAAGAGCTGAGGGACAATGCCCAGGCCCAGAGTTCAAGCCCCACGACTGACAAAAAAAAAAAAAGACTAGTACTCTACTTGAGCCATAGCTCTACTTTTGGCTTTCTGGTGGCTAGTTGGAGGTAAGAGTCTCATGAACTTTATTGCCTGGGGTTGGTTGGATTTGAACTTTGAGCTTCAGATCTTAGTGTCCTGAGTAGTTTAGGATTATTACAAGTATAAGCCACCAGTGCATTGCAATCTGAGGAGTGCAGAAATGAGCTTTGTCAAACCTTATCTCGTTATACTTTTATGAAACATTTAATCTGGAAACACACATTAAAAAACAAAACCTGGATTAAATAAAGGCAATTATGAAAATCTGACATTTCCTTTTAAAAGTACAATAATACCTCCTTTGATTTGTATTAATATCACCTAAAGCCTCAATAGGAAAAATCTGGCTCTGACTTGAACTAATTCCATACTTTGAAATGCTTACCATCTTTTCAGTACTAATCAAAAAAAAACCCTAATGGTTTATTTTGATACAAATACAAAACATGGTATAGCTGACTTAAAAAATTCACGAGTAAATATGAAGGGAAACGTGAAAATTTCTTCCTAGCCTTGAATGTGGGACTATCTTTTCAATAATCTGGGGTTCCTAAATCTTGCAAACTGTTCTCTTTAAAACAAATGTTAGAATAGTTTGAGTGGATTTTATCCAAAATTCTTGAAAACAAAAGTGTTTATGAATTTTCTAGACTGGAATATTTGTATGGACTAATGAGACATGTTGGGAAAGGACCTGAGTCTCAACATGAAACTCTGATGTTTCATAGATATCTTATATACATAGCCCGAAGGAAATTTTATACCGTATTTTAATAATTCTGTGTAGTGTGCCTATGCTTTGCTACTGCCTATGTTACCAGGTCAGGTGTGGAATCAAATTGTGGTATCAAATTGGCAGTCAAATGTTTTGGGAGATTTCAGATTGCATTCTCAGAATAGGGATGTATTTCAATCATATCATTTACAATTAGAACATTTTACATTTAGGGGAAGTATTTGTGTCACCTGCCTTCCCCACCAAGGCCTTTCCTTCTCAAGTTTATTTGGAAATCAGGGATGACTTGAAGGAAGATATGACTGGCCTTCTTCACACCTTGCCATTCTCCCAGGCATAGTTGTTCTGGACCAATTCAGATCATTCTTGGACTATTCCAGACTCCATCTCACACTGCCTGCCTGGCCTCCATCCCTGGCTAACTAACAGCTAGGCTGAGAGACACAGCAGAAAATTGAGGCAAATGTGCTTAACTTCTCACTTTGCAACAAAGGCTCTCAAGACCACTTTAGGAGGCAGGTGACATTTTGCAAGCTTTGCTGAACCTCTGACTATCACTTAGAGATACTGAGGCTTCATGATGAATCCTCCCACCAGATCTGAAACTGGCTACTCACCTGCTAGGACTTCTGTCCGTTTAAACAGATTGTCTGAGTGCTTCTCGGTATACACATTTGTATCTTCGTCAGCTTGGTCCATTTTCCTTTCTGAGTCAGGCATGTGAACTTCTTCCTTATCAATTTCTTCAGGGGACTGGTATGGAAAAATGTAAACAGTATATTGGTTTTTGTTTTTGTTTTTTTTAAAAGAAATGTGGTAGAAGGAAGAAATAATAGATTAATATATTCCAAAGTTCCTTTCTTTGTTAAACATGCAGTTTAGGAAATAATCTTTTTGTTGTTATTGTGGGTCGTGGGGCTTGAACTCTGGGCCTGAGTGCTGTCCCTCAGCTCTCCAGCTCAAGGCTAGCACTCTACCACTTGAGCTACAGGGCCACTTACAGCTTTCTGGTGATTTATTGGAGATAAGGGTTTCATGGACTTTCCTGCTGGGGCTGGCATTGAACTTCGATCCTCAGATCTCAGCCTCCTGAGTAGTTAGGATTATAGGCATGAGCCACCAGTGCCCGGCAGGAAATAACCATTTTGCATGATGCTTATACCAATGGATGAGGCCCACAGTGGACCTACGTAGCTCATTATTTTGCATATCATCCGTCATTGGCAATAATAGGTAAGATGGGTACTTACTAAGTTCAGTATCATTCAGATGATATGCTTAGTTGTTTTAGTTGACATTTCCTAAGTTCTTTGGTTTCTCACTAATCTTCTGACTTCTGGCCACTATCTCCCTCCAGCTAACCCAAATTCTTCATTCTTGCCCCAAGGTGCTGAGACAACTATCCCTGGCCCCCCTCCAGGAATTCTGCCATTTCTGATGGAGCTCTCCCTGTTCCCAGACTCTACATTAAATACCAACTAGAATCCATATCATCTTTATCCCATTATTATGACAAATCATGTTTCCACCTTAGGTTCCCTGAGTCTCAAAAGTCAATTAATTAAGAAGGTTGACTTGTTAGATCCCCTAGGCTTGGCTTCTGATCTAGTAATGAATGAAAGAAACATATGTATTCTAGGGATCTGAGCAGGTGGGACAGACTGTCTCAATAGAACTGAGCAATGTGAGCATGCTCCTAAGAGGAATGGTCTCTCAGTGGACAAACCTTAAGGTGTTCTGAATGGGACAGTCATTTTGTGTTTCAAATTGAAATTGAAAAGCTCTATTGTATACAAAGTTTTGACTAAGAATAAACCATTCCACAACATAGCTCCAATCTGAGATCACTTAGTTCTCATACATATAAGCGTGTATGTATATATATATATATATATATATATATATATGAATATACATATATACATACATAATATTACAAGAAGATAGCATGGATAATTAAATGAAGCCAATTAAAGATCTAAAAGATGCATGCTGTGTGTATGCCACAGAAAAACAATGGAGTTAAGATTATGAGTGAAGCTCTTATAAACAACTGCACTTTACTCTTTTTCTTTTTAAATTTTTGTACCAGTACTAGGGCTTGAACTTGGGCTCTAGGAGCTGTCCTTTAGCATTTTCTTTTAAGGCTAATGTTCTATCACTTGAGCCAAAGCTCCACTCCTGGCTTTTTGGTGGCTAATTGAGATAAAAGAGGCTCATGGACTTTCTTGCCAGGGTTGGCTTTGAACTGCCATTCTGAGATAATCAGCCTTCTAAGTAGCTAGGATTACAAGTGTAAGCCACTGGTGCCTGGCTGCACTTTACTCTTTCATCACATAATTTATAACAAATAGAATATCTTTAACAGGGACACAAATGCAACTGTCAGAACATTTTAAAAGCAGAATCTTCACTAATGGTATCCTACAGACAATATTTAATTCGGCTGTACCATGTGACTATAAAATGGAAATTAAATCACTATTATTGTTATTCATGATCAATATTGTATTATCAGTACTTAGAACAGTATTTGACACATAATGAAAACTCTCCCATGAATCAATGAATTTTTAGTATTATAATGAATATAAATAACAGTAGGAATGTACATATATTAAAAATGGTCTGGGATCTTCAATTTCTAAACTCATCTGATCAATGTCTATATTTGATCTAATTCAATTACTTAAGTCAATTTTTATAATCTTAAATCAATTTTCAATCCATTATTGACAGTGAACCAGAAATATAAATCAAACCAAAGCACTTAGAACTCTTTTATTTGTGCATAGGGGTAAGGAGGCAGTAGTCATGTTTGAACTCAGGGACTCATGTTTTCTAGACAGGCTCTCAATCACTTGAGCTATGCTCCAGTCCTTCTGCCTCACTTGGTCAGGGACTGTAATCATCTCTGCCTTCTAAGTAGTTGTGATTATAGTCATGCACCACCAAGGTCAGCAAGACACATTTCTTTATCACACAAAGCCAAAATTAGCCCAGAAGAGGTTCTTCCCTTTATCCCGTCAATGGTCATTGACTTCAATAGATGCAGTCATTAAGAAAAGAACAAGTAAAAAGGCTGGGTGCATCTCTCCATAGTGAGGCTGGATAACTGTGCCCAAATATTCTGGGGTATTCCACCATCCTGCCATCATCAACTGTACCTGCTTCTTCTCCTTTCTCTCCTTCACCCTTTTCCTTTTCATCCAACCTGGGCACTGATGGGCAGATTCCATTCATGAGCCTAAACACAGTAGGCCTGTCTGCCTTAGTCCTCAGGAGCTTATTCTTCTCTGCTTCTTGCTTGGCTTGTGAGCTCCGGCTGCCCAATAATAGTAACTGACCCTTATGAAGTCTACAGAGAACACATTAATCTGCATATGCTTCATCTGCAGAGAGCCGTTTGTCTGCGCTAATTCCCACACAGCACTAGGAGAATTAAGAAGAGGAGGGTGAAAGAACCCTGCTAAGGGTGAGAAAAGCCTACTTGTATTTGTGTCTACAAAGGGGTGCTTCCCATTGCAGCAAAGGCCTGTTACTCTCTCCATAAATATCTGGAAGCATCTCATTGCTAAATGAGATGTCCCAAGGGGGACATTTGTGTTTCTAGGTCTTCCTAATCAGCATGCTACCTCAGAAGCATCTTCAAAGGTTACCACTGCAGTTATTACACATGCTCATTTGGTGAACTGGCTTAATCTCTTCTGCTCCACCAGATTTCAACTACTGTTTACAAAACGCCATACAGGTGTTATGCTATACAGACTCACACTTAATCTTCTTAATGACTCAAGAAGTTCTAATGGACCCAGGATTCCAAATGGAGTCCCTTGTCATGCAATTCCCAACATCAACAGCTCACCTCTTAGTAGACCACCAGCTAATTGCAACAGAATGCTGACAAAGTCAAAATCATGAGCTCATAGTTTTCATTAGCTAGTAGCTTTGCTCTGTTCTAAGGCCAGCCAGCTCATTTTCCTGAAGTCAGACCTAAAATGAATAAATACAGATGTGCCCCGCTTCATCACTGTCACTGTATGTGGTCCAAGTTTACATGGCTGGTGGGTCCATGCAGACTAAGAGATGACTCACTGACACTTTTCCATGTGAAGGTAGGACTCTGCGTCTCATTGCACAACCTGGCCCAGCTTATGGAGAGTTCACAATGGCTTAAACTCAGCTGACCATTTATTCTCCATGACACAAATGGGGAAAGTAGGGAAGAAGACATTTGGCTTAACCAAGTAAACAAGGTTTTACTTCTTAACGGGGCTTGAGAAGTTCCTCAAAAATAGACTGTCAAATCTAAAAAAAAAAAAAAACATATGGAAACTAGGCCTGGCTGTAAAACCAGCAGGTATACCAAAATGATCCTAAACAAACACAATGACAAGACAAGACCTCTGAAGAGGGCCATTCGATACAGTCAAAACAAGAGAAGCATTTACTATAACTTGATCAAGCAACGAGAAGCAAAAGGCACCTTTGTCTGAGCAGGCATCTTGCTCTGTGTCTTCAATGTCGTGGTCTCCACTTTTGGAACAGCACTAGTAAATGAGATCCTTGGAATTGGCCGTGAAGTTGTCAGTTCTGGACTCTCTATGTCCTCATCGGCTCCTAGAGAATAAGCACAGACAAACACAGCATGAGAATCATGATGGACATGTACATTACCAAGCAGTATTGCCTACACAATGCTGACAGATATATGCTCTAAGTATTTAGCACAGACCTTCCAGCAGTCTTCCCCTCTGATGAGGTGGTCTCAGCAGAGATATGTGGATAGTTTGACAGTTTTGTTATTGTTTTTTGCTATTATTATCCTGAACACTCTTTCAGTAACTCTCTTCTCCATGCTTGGTCAGTTTTTCCTGCTCAGTAAGATTTCTTACTGAATACAGTAAAACAAAAACAAAAAAACAACAACACAACACAACAGAACAAAATATGCAAAGTGAACACTCTCTGAGAACAGACTCACCTCATTGGTGAGCTTTTAGCCTCTCTTATTTATGACAAACTTTCCCAATGGCAATATGGGCTCTGACTGGTTCCTGTTCTTAGAATCTCTGTTACTGGGTACCTTGCTACATTTCCTATCATGGTCATACTGATACTTGGTGTGAAGGCCACTAACGCAAGCCCTCTGTGTTGCCATATCTAATGGCATTTTTCTAAGCAGTTATCATCTAATCAACTTCTTTGTGACTACATCTAGGTAAGTTTCTCCCCAAATCTGTGTATTATAGGCTGGTTCCTCAGCTCCTGGTGCTATTAGGAGACAGGAAATCCTTTCAGAGGTAGGAACTAGGGGAAATCTAGTTGTTGAGGGTATACTCTTGAAGAGCTATTGACATCTTGGTCTCTTCTTGTTGTTTGTTTGTTTGTTTTGGCTTATAGGCCTCCATAAGACAAGCAGCTTCCTCTACGATGTATTCCTTTCTGCCACGATGTTCTACTTCACTATAGGCCCCAAAGCAATGGGACAACCAGCCATGGGCTGAGACCTGACAAAGCCTATGGAAAACAAATCTTAGTTCTTTTTAAACTGATAATCTCAGATATTTTGTTATAATATAGTGGAAAACGAACACATTCCTAGCACCATTGGACATTGTCAACTGCCATCTCTTTGATATACCCTATTTTTCTGGGCTTCTACAGCTTTCTGCCTTTCCCTTATTTCTCTAGCTATTCTAAATCTCCTGTGAGGATTTATTTTCCTTTACCAAAATGCCAAATATCAAGAATGCCTCACGATTCAACCCCAGGCCTCATCTTATGCTACACATTTTCCATAACTCCTGGCCCAGTGGCTTCAGTTAACATCTAAATATAGATAACTAAATTTACAATGTCATCTTTTACTACCCATCTCAAATTCAGACCAATATATCCACAGCCTGCTTGACATGTTCACTTGAATGACTCACAGATACCACACACCTCTAACATGTCCAAAACAGAACTCTCTCCTTCCACAAACACAGTTTTCTCCCGTTTGAGTGAGGAACCCTATCTTCTTCATAACAGAACTCTTGACTTCCTCTTCCTTGCCTCTCTCTGTATGAAATCTATCAGCTTGTTCTACCAACTTTGCCTTCTTAGTTTCTCCTTATTCTTTTTATACTTTTAGGGCCAACACCCTAATCCAAGGAACTAGTAAACATGGCATGTATAAAGCTGTTATTGCTGGAATGAGAAGACTGTTTCACAAGTAGCAATAAATATAGTCCAAAATAATGATAAAATACAATATAATGACTGTTCATTATCACTATGTAGTTTTATGGGCTCTACAATTATATGCAACTTTTTTTTCTTGTGCCAGTCCTGGGCCTGGGTGCTATCCCTGTTTTGCCTGGGATGACTCCCAAATGTGATTCTTAGATCTCAGCCTCCTGAGTAGCTAGGATTACAGTTATTTGCCACCAGTTATTTGCCTGGCTATGTACTATATTTTTATATGACTGGCAGGGTAGTAGGTTTTGTTTATTCCAGTGTCACCACCAATATGAGTAAGAGATTGTACCATGGTATTATAATGGCTACAATGTCACTAAGTAATAGGAAGTTTTCAGCTCCTTCTAATCTTATAGGATCACTAATGTATATTCAGTCTATTGTTATGAAAACATTATTATGGGGTAATATATAGTAATATACTGGCCCCAGGTACAATACATGTTTGGAAGCATTCTGTAGATACAAAAATGTTATGTAATACTAAGTTATCCCAGGGGTAGTGATGAGTGCATGTAATCTTAGATACGTGGGAGGTAAAAACAGAAGGTAATCAGTTAAAGGTCAGTCTGGATAAACACAGCACCAGACTTTATCTGAAAACTTTAAACAAAAAGGGCTGGAGGCATGACTCAAGTGGTAAAGTACATGCCTAGCAACTGCAAAGCCCTAAGTTCAAACCTCAGCATCACTAAAAAACAAAACAACAAACCCTGAGAGATAAATCCCAAAATGCACTGCTCTTTTATATGTCTATTAGATTATCCATCAAATTTTCACTTAAGTTTGGCTAGTTTCTGTAATGAATCATTTTCTTATAATAATTAAATCTCAATAAGAAATAAAGTATTTCAATTTAGGGCTGTTAAGATTCCCCTTGTTTCAAAGGGGGTCCAAATATGACTTACCACATGAGGAACAGAGAGGAGCAATATGGGAGAAGAGAATATAGAAAGAAAATAGAAGTTGCCTTCAGCTAGTATTGGAGACCTATGTATAATCTACCTTAGCAACAGTTTTATTATCATTAACGGAAAAAAAAGAAGAAGAAATCAAGAGGCCCCTTGATGATCTCTCTCCCTCCTCTCACTACTCCCTGGGTCTGAGATATCACATGCTAGAGCCTATTTCTTCCTAGGAACCACTCTCTTACATTAGCACATCCAGCTTCTATTCTATCCTCTGAAGCCTTCTGTGATCTACTGTGGAACTGTGTTTAACTCTGTGTTCCCACTGCTCAGTTGTATCTCTTCTGCTGTTTCTTTGTTATAACATTTTTTTTTCTACTAGTGCTCTGGCTTCAATGTGTATGTTTCACTCCCTACCAGATTTCTGTGCTGAAACTCAATTCCAAATGAGGCAGTATTAAGAGGTGGGTCTTCAGAAGGTAACTAGGTTTCTGTGCTGTCACGAATGGCATTAGCACCTTATGTGAGCTGCCTGAGGGATTGTGCTGGATGGTTCTGTCAAAAAAAAAAAAGCATAGGTTTGGTTTCAAAAGTCTTGATAGTATGGAGGTATGAAGCAGAGAGCAAGTTCTCACAAACACCAAATCCAATGAGGCCTTCATTTTCAACTTCTAATCAACTTATGCTGTTTACAAAATAGCCAGTTAAAAATATGTTTTTATGATGTTGGAAATGAACTTTATTGCTTGGGGGTGATGGAAATGGAGGGGAGGGAAACTGGAATAAAAATGAGGGAAGGGGTAACAATGTTCAACAAGAAACATACTCATTACTTATGTAACTGTAACCCCTCTGTACAGCACCTTTACAATAAAATAAGAAAAACAATGAAAAGAAAAAAGAAATATATGTATGTAACCATAATCTCTCTGTACATCACCTTGAAAATAAAATAAAATTTAAAAAAGGTCATAAACCCAAATATAGATATATATAAAAGGATCTATTTTCACAGATGAAACTTGTAAACTGAGAAATAAATAAATGAAGAGAATGATTCCACCTCTAGAGAAAGTATTGTTTAATTTTATTTACCAAAGTGTTCCTAAGGTGATGCTTGCCCCCCTGTAGTTGTTAGTTACTCAGTGACGGTTCAGTAATTGAACCAATATCCTCTACATCTTACATCTTCTCACCTTAGGAGATTTTTGATCTACTCACCAGAAATTCTTTTGTGTTCTCAATGTTCCTGTTTTATGATATCCTGTTCTTGTTTCACCATGAGAGAACTTTCTCTCTTTGCATATAATGGATTTTTCCCTCCTGTAAGTTCCCTTCTCACTGTTCTATATCTGTCATCCCCTAACTTTGGACTTGAAGGAGGAAGTCTCAATCTTTCATGTTACAAGTGTTTTTTTTTTAAAATAAATGTCTGGAGAGCCTTATTCCTTTTCATAACTAAACACAGAAAAGCTGACTGAGAGCTCTGGAGACGTATGTCAAACATGGCCATCATGTTTGGTACTATGTGTTTGAAGTTGTCTTTGAATTGTTTCTTTGTACTTGAACTGATTCTCTAAAGTGTAACCCCTTCCCCAGTGAGGTAGGGTGACAGTCAGTGTTCTAGAAAGCTCCTGGCAGAAGATACTTTGGGATATCTCAGCACTAAAGAATTTTGTGTGTATGTATGTGTGTGCTACTGAGAATTAAACATGGGGTCTCCAAAGATTGTACCATTTGAGTCATGTCACCAGCCCTTCTATTTTTGAGACAGGGCTTCACTAACTTGGTTAGTACTAATCTTGAACTTTGAGGTTTTCCTGCCCCACAACTGGCTAGCCTTAAAGTACTTTTAATTTAAAATTTACTTTATGCCTATGAACATATATATTTTTGAAATGAGGTTTTACTATGTTGCTTAGATAGCCCTTGAAATTCTGGCCTCAAATAATCTTGCCTCAGCCTTTGCAGTAGCTGGATATTCCTGTTCTTAAATAAAGTAGCATCAGTTCAGAGAGCTTAGTTATTTATTTTGGGGCTGATCCTGGAACTTGAACTCAGGGCCTGGGCACTGTTCCTGAGCTTTTGTGCTCAAGGCTAGTGGTCTACCACTTGAGCCACAACTCTACTTCTGGCTTTGTTGGGGTTTATATGTAGATAAGAGTCTCAGGGACTTTTCTGCATGGGCTGGCTTGGACTGCAATCCTCAGATCTCAGTCTCCTGAGTAGCTAGGATTAGAGGTGTGAGTTACCAGCACCCAGACAAAGATCCAATGTTTTATTCCAGTTTTCCGGAGGTGGGAGGGCATGAATGTCTTCACAGATGGTGGGAAACACACATTTCCCCCGCTCCCGGAGTTCATTTGTATAAATACTATTTTATAAGATTAGAAGCACATAGGCATTGTGCCTTTTTGTTGCTCTCCTAAGAATAGTCTCATTTGGAGCATATGCAATACCTATCCATTTGTGTGTGGATGCCTAGAGGGGAAACACTGTTACCTAATCAAACTGAGTTTGGCAGTACTTTTTTTTTTTCCTGCTAGTCGTGGGGCCTGAACTCTGGGCCTGGGTCCTGTCCCTCAGCTCTTCAGCTCAAGGCTAGCACTCTACCACTTGAGCCACAGCGCCACTTCCAGCTTTTTCTGCTTATGTGGTGCTGAGCAATCGAACCTGGGGCCTCATGCATGCAAGACAAGCGCTCTACCACTGAGCCACCTTCCAGCTCAATCTCTATGTGTGCCATCAATTCCTGGAGATTCAGGGAACTCTGTTGGGTAGAATGATTTGTGTCTTGGCTCTGCCCATTGCTGGCCAACTTGGCCTTCAGTTTGCCAAGACTATTACAATCAGTGCATCTGCTTCCCAGCTTCAGAACTCTGTGATGGTTGCCTCTTCTACTCTCTAGTTAGTACTTGTGAATCTATGCCAAATTCCTTTATGATCAATGTAATCAGGTCCTAAAAGGAATTTGTGCTTAATCACCATCTTTAATCAGTGTTTTTTATTTAACTCAAATTTTTATTTGACAGTACTTTCCTGTGTTATGTCACTCATTACAGGTGTTACAATTATTACTTCTCTCATCAGGCTTTGGGTCTCTTGAGAATGGCAAGCAAGTATTTTGCCACATGAGTCCCAAGAACATGGCATCATGTATGGCACACAGTAAAAGGCCTGTAGAGGCTCTTGTGTTTGCCAATGTATGTCCGTGTCCAACGTAACAGGGCCCACCTCTTTATAGGGAAGAGTACACTGGGCTTTTAGACTTTTTCCTCCAGGATATTTGCTTTCCTACTGGATAGTTTGATAGGAGTTAAGACAGATGGTAATACTGGCCAGAATGCTAGGGGGATTGGTGCTTCTAGCTGGGGCTAGGTAATGAGATGAAGGTCTCTTGGTTCTAGAAGGGAGTTTTATACACAGGAAGTAGCACAGCAAAGGACTAAAAAGAACCCACTCTCATGCTTCACTCCTGGTCCTGTCTCAGCTATATGATTTTCTGACATCATGACATGAAGTACATAGAGGCTGTATCTTAGGTTTATTCATGAGAAAAATGGCAATGACAATACAATCTATTCTTGTAAGAATATAACAAGGATGGAGCCATGCTTGAGTATAGTAAATACTTCAAGAATTGTGAAATTATAACCACTACCTGCAAGCTGAAACAAAAAACACAAAACAAAAACAAAAACAACAAAACTATCCAAGCCAGGTGCTGGTGGCTCACTCCTGTAATCCTAGCTACTCAGAAGGCTGAGATCTGAGGATCACGGTTCAAAGCCAGCCCAGGCAGGAAAGTCCCCATGAGACTCTTCTCTCCAATTAACCACCAGAAAATCAGAAGCAGTGCTGTGGCTCAAGTGGCAGAGCACTCGCCTTGAGCTGAAGAGCTCAGGGACAAAGCCCAGGCCCAGAGTTCAAGACCCACAACTGACCAAAGCAATAAAATAAAATACTATTCACATCAGTGTGCAAAATGATGTCTAAGTCAAGAATACTGACCTTCAACTTGTTCACAACAATCTGCCTAAAGCTGGAGCTGAAGAATCTGGGCAATATTTAAGCTTTCTCTTGATCTATCTAATAAGTGGATTCAGGATTTCAAATGACGACTTCAACTACCACCTTCTACCTGCAGGAGGCAGGAGGGCAGGTGAACAGGCAGCACTGTGTACCTGCTTCCCTGAAATTAAAGGTAGGACAATCTTGGCAGGAGAATGAAAAGGGCACTCTCATAGATCCCTAACAACTATTGGATTCTACGATCTGTGAAATGGGGTTTTAAAAAAGTGTCTATATTTATTACTTCCTGGAACATTTTGAAAATGACAGTTACGAAGCATTTTTGAGGTGTTTTAAAAAAAAAGAGGTGCCATGAGTGAAAGATATTAATAGAGTTGTGGGCTAGGAAGAACAGTTCTTTCACACTCATTCTGTGTGTGTGATATATATCACTCTCCCAAGAATAACTAGGGCTATTTTCACATTAGGATTGCATTGTAAGCTCATGGTTACTAGGTCAGCCTCCATCTCTCTGTTATCTTTTCCATACTTGTCATTTCTCAATTCAAAACACTCTTATGCATCTAGTTCTTTAACAAGTTACAACTGATTTTAAATTGTTCTGGGTCAATTCCAAAGCCCAGATGAACCTCATTGTCTGATATTTATACTCAGCATGACTTTTACCATCTGTTCAAACTGAAATAAAAACCTTAAACAAGAAAGTTTTAAAAAAGAAAGTTCTAGAGAAGACTTCTTTGTGTGCTGTTGACCATACATTTCTGACCTGTCTATTAACTAAATTTATGTTCAAGTTCTTCCTTATTTTTCTCAGTTTCTTGGGGACCATCCTATACAGGTGAAACAATCCCAGGCAAAGTAAATGGAGAAAATGGCCAAGATCCTTTATTTCTCCTTGAGCCCACATCCTCTCCAATGTGACTATGGCTCTCTCCATTAAGCAGTGGAGTCTGGGGCTAGGTGCATAATTCAGTGGGTGAGTGTTTACCCTGCGTGCTCAAGGCCCTTGACATTTAGCTTTGAACATGAAATGATTCCTGTAGGTCCATATGTTAATACTTGGTTGCCAGCTGGTGGTGCTAGTCTGGGCCTAAGTGGAGGAGGTATATCATTAAAGCACACCTTTAAAGATTGCCCCTGGTCCCTAGTTTCTTCCTTGCTCTCTGCTTCCTGTCCATCGTGAAAACTGAGAAACTCCTCCATCACATACTCCATCACTATGACCTTCTGCAGAATGCATGTGACCAAGCAAGAATGGACTAAACCATCTGAAATCATGAGCCAAAAGAAATGCCTCCTCCCTTAAGTTGTTTCTTTCAGAGATTTGGTCCCAGTGATGATAGAAAACTAACTAGCACACTAGATTTGATTTCTAGCACTGGAAAATGCAAAAAAAAAAAAAAAGCAAGGCATGAAGTGTCTTTCTAAGTCTAGAATACAATTGGTTTTATACCTGACTATACACTGTTGTGGCACGTTCCTGCTTCTCAGTGAACAAATACACAGTCATAATCTAGAGGATGTGAGACTGTGTGGACCACGGCCAGGTCCTGCTCAGCTGACTTGGAGATATGACAGAGACCAGCCAAGATCATCAGCCAAGCTAAAGACTCCACTTGTAGATGCAGACACATGAGGGACCAGCACTACATGACTACCCTGCAGAATAATGAATTGAATGAAGGCCTGGGGCTTCTGCGTGTTGGAATGGTTTGTTATGCAGCATTACAGAGATAACAGATAATTAATATACCAAAAAGTCAGAAGTATCACTCTACCATTGTTTTAATTAGCTGCTCCATAATTTCTTCTACTTTCTTTAAAAGAATGTAACATCTTAGAATCTTCAACAAAGGATAGGTAGGGCAGGCATTTTATGACTGGTATTCAAGGTATCTACAAAGGAGGTTCTGAAAATATAGTTTCCCAAGTTCTTAGAGCTTGAATTCACACCCAGATCTTCAGGGTTCAAAGATCTTTGGGGTCCATGCTCTTACCCATGCATAATGCCTGTCTCTGGGAAATCATGCCACAAAGTATGTGTCTGAGCAAGCTGAGAATGGCCATCAGCCAGTCTTACCTGAGCCAGATGCAGAAGCATAGTCGTCATCATCAATAGGATATACTCCAGAAGCTTCTTCAATGGAGCTGTTGTCAAGGTACATGTCTTTGTCCGATGTCAGCTCTGCTCGCTGAGAAAGGTAAGATGTGATTCAGGATGGCAAGAGATTAAGACATACTGATTTTACCTACTGTTCACCCTGATGCCCCAGTGACTACCCCTGCACTCTATTCCTGAGTCCCTATGTCTGTCCATCCCTTTCCTCAGGGCACCCTGGCAACTTGTATGTAATTAAGGGCTGACTCTAGTCTGACTCCCGAAAGGGAAGCTTCTGAGCCTAATCCATTACAATGAGGATGTTGCAGACCTAAGCACCTACCATAGGTTTTGTTCCACTGTACTAAACTCATTGGGGTTTTGGTTGTCCCAATGCTAATCAGAAGCTATCTCAGACATTCCTTTTGGTCATGAATGAGGTTCCTTTATTGCAAAAGCTACTAAACACCCAAATCACTTAAGACTTTCTTGGGGATGTATGGAGGCACTTAGGCTCAATAATCACCTAGGGAGCCATCAAGGCACGCCAAGTGCTCACAGGCCTGGCCATGCATAGCTTCATGACAGATGAGGGGCTCCCTAGTCGAGCAGGCCATCCAGAGCTTTCTGCTTCATGCAGATCTACACTGACTCCAGGCAGGACACCCCATGTAGAGCAGGGACTATGGGGCTCATCTGCCAAGAGTGAGGGCCCACAGCACGCCCACGTCTAGGGTTCACTGGCTTAGCAGAGTCTTAATGACAAACACAGATAAACCCACAAGAGCACTTTAAAAAAATATTACTGGCACTTGGTAGTAGCAAATCACAGGCTTACTGTGGAGAAGGATCAGGCACTAAGCATACCCGTTCCACAGCTTCTTAGCTCTGTAATAAGAGGTTAGTATTAAATTCACCCTAATCCTGCCAAAGGGGTAACATGCATGAATTGGAGATGGAGAAGAGACAGAATTTTTTTTAATGGTTTTAGTAAATTGATATTTTATCCCCAGTATCTCAGACTGGCAGCTTCGACGCAAAGTTGGAATCAGGCAGTGTTCATTATTATCCTATTAAAAAAATCAAATTGGATGTTTGTTCCTCACAGGAATTATATTAAAAAAAACTGTCCCCCTTACTATGCTGGCTTTCATTGGATTTCCACTAAAATAAGACTTGGTCTCAACAGTCAAGGAGGGACAGGCCCACCCTCTGGAACAGACATGCTTTATTCTCTCAGGTTTCAGTGGCTGGCTGGAGAGGCTGAAGGGTTTTAAATCTGAGCCCACAGTCTCCACACTCATCGGTGCCAATGACAGAAAAGTATGGGAATCATTCTGTTGGAGCTATCACACCGGCAGAGTCTGAGGTCTGAGCCCTTAGGGATCAGATTTGCAGGCAATGAGTGACCACCCTCAGCCAAGAGTGTGCCGGCACTTTCTTCCTGCCTGCACGGTCAGAGCCTAACTCTGCAATCTGAGGCTGGGCTGTGTGGCACCAGTCTCCAAGGCAATCACCATTCCAGAATGTAATTCCCAAAGCTTGCCAACCAAATCGGGAGCCTTGCATCCCACAGATCTTGACACAACTTAACTGGCCACACTGGACATTCTATCCCCCTTGGAGAGAACAGATCAGCTAGCCCTCTGTACCTTTGAGCTCCACGAACACAGATTCAACCAACAATAGATTCAAAACAAGAAAATTAATAAATAAGTCCAGTTTGGCCAAGTATGGTGGTGTGTACTTGTCATTTCCCCACTAAGGAGGATGAATCAGGAAGATCACGTTTGAAGTCAGCCAGGGCTACATTACAAAAACCTACCTCAAAAGCAAAAGAAAAGTTTGTACTGAGTAGGTGCGTATGTCTTTTCGTTTTTCATCATTCCCTAAACCACACAGTACAACTATTTCCATAGCATTTAAATTTTATATTTTATTAGATATTCTAAGTTGTCTAATACACAGGAAGGTGTATACAGCTTTTATGAACATACTACTCTTCATAGGTGTGTGGGGGTGTGTGCACACATGTGTGTGCTGGTCCTAAGGCTTGAACTCAGGACCTAGGCACTGTCCTTGAGCTTTTTTTCTCAAGGCTAGTTTTCTACCACTTTGAGCCACAGCTCCACTTCTGATAGAGTCTCATGGACTTTCCTGCCTGAGCTGGCTTCAAGCCTCAGTCCTCCTATCTCAAGCTCCTGAACATCTAGGATTACATACATGAGCCATAGGTGCCTGGTCATACAATTTTATTATATGTAGAACCAAAAACTAACTTGCACAGTTGTGAATTTTAATATTTAATTTCTTTAACCTCTCCTTCCTCCCCCACCAAATCGCAGCAGCTACCCACCCAGTAAACATGGCTTAGGTTGAACAAGTCTGAGCTCCCAGTTTAAAAGCCATGTTTACTCTGCCTGTTTTAACTCTTGTCCTATCAGATTTGCCTAGAAGACCTTTTGTCATCCTCAGTCAAATCGCTCATCTAATTTCCAAAACATCCTCTGATACCTCCAGTCATTTTCCTTATATGCACCTTGAGTTACAAATTGTGCTCTTTTACATTCTGTAGCCTACGTGTAGTTTAGGGCATAGAGTCTCACTGTCTTTTAAAAAAAATCAGTTTATTTGTTTTGCTCCTCATTATGGATATTTATTTTAAAAAACCTCTGTGAGTTCGTTCTTTGTCCCTCTCAAAGTGCACAGGTATTCAACAAATATTTGTCAGCTGAGGTTACTAAATCAAAATGGTTCAAGTAACCTTTGACTTGGGCTTTAGGGTTCACATGTGTCCAAGATCTGTAGGATTCGTATAGTTAAAAATCTCTTGATCTTAAGCCTGAGAGAGCATCTTCCCCAAACTTCCCATACCTTGCCCTGTATCTACTTAAGTAAACCTGAGTTTTAAATATATATATACAATATATATACGAAATACACACATACATATATATATTTTTTTTTTAAAGAAAGGTTCTCCATACATTTCAGAAACAAGTTTCACCCTCTCACTTTCCTCTTGGCCCTCTGCCTGAAGAATTTGATGTGGCAAAGGTTAACACAGATATTTAATCCTTACATGTGAAATTGAATTTCCAGCCACTGGAAGACTCAGTTTATCCAGACAACACATCTGTCACACCACAAGGTGGGTGGGCCAAAAAATGTCTGCCAGAAAATCCTAGCCACCTCACGCTGTAACCACACCAGGCAGCCTGACAAGCCAGCAGACTTCTAAAGAGGCAGCTATGAAACCTGCATTACTACCAGACTTGAGGAAGAGGCCAGGGAGCACCTAGAGGTAACCCTCATCCTCAGTCCCTCAGGGCCTGTAGGTACCTCCAGGGGGTAATCTGACGCTGATCTGATGTTTAATGAGTTTGCTGGCAGCCAAAAGTACTTGTTTTCCATTAGTCATGTGGTGCAAAAAATTCTGCCATCAAACTAAAAAAGTTCTCTTCCATTCTGATTTCAGGAATACTAAGAAAACAAGGGCCAATTGTCCACGTCCTAATATAGAGAATAAGAAGCAGGGTTCTTTCGTGTTGTGTAGCTGATAATACTAAAAAAAAAAAAAAATCAAAGACAAAACAAACAGAACTCCATTTCTTTTCCTGTGAAGAAAAAATAAGTTCCAAATAGGACAGATTCCACTTCTGAAGACACCACATACTGTGTGGGTAAGGACGTGTGCATTTAGCACACTTAAAAGAGGCAATAAATTATGCACCAATACTCCTCTTGAAACAAGGTGGTAACAATCTCCCCTACCTTCTTGACCACTCCCCCTCAATTTCTCTTTCTTTGGCAGCACTGGGTGTGAACTGGGGGCCTCACACTTGTTAGGCAGGCTCACTAGCACTTGATTCATATCCATAGCCCATTTTGCTTTTCTTGATTCCCAAGGAGAGTCTTGCCTGAGGCTATCCTGGGACTATGGTCTTCCTTTTTCTACTTCCTGAGTAGTTAGGATTATAGAAGTTCCCCAACAGGCCTGGAAACTCTTGAAGACCATAAAAATACATGATTCAAAACTACTGACTTGACACCTGGTTGGATGTGGTCAGCTCACTGCACAGAAAACCCTGGGACACTACACACTCTGCACTTGTCCATGTGGTCAATAGGGACAGAAACTGGATGAGAATAACTGCAAAGAAATGTGCACAAGCAAAAAGCTATTGACTGCCTGCAGGATTTCATAATGAAGTTGTTTGGGTTGGGGCTGGCCATGGCTGTGAGGCCATGCCAATACTGTTGGCTAACAGGTTCAGAGTATAAGCTGGAAGAAAAACAAAGTGGATCTTTCAGACCTTTTCCCCTTCGCTGATGCAAGATCTGAAGAAAGGAAAGCCAGGGGAAGCTGTAGAAAGCTACCAGGTCCTGCAAAAAGAAAAATCAATTGTAGACACAGACAGGGCTTCCGCTTCATGTCATGTTCAGCCAGGGAAAATGACGCACATTGCTTCTATTGACTGAATTCCCAGAAGAATGCATATCCCATGCAGTTTTTCTATCCCCTACAATGGCTAGAAAGAAGGCAAGATACAGGTTTATCTACCAACTCCATCCTTCCTTTTTTAGCACTGAAACTTCAGTAATCTTATCTTATTGGGTCTGGGCTATGAATAAGGCCTTTTGACATAGGTGCTGCAGAATTCTTCACTTTTAAAGCCATGCTTTATAGAGATAGTTCTCAAAATTAGTGCAGTGGCTGGGCACTGGTGTTTCATGCCCATAATTCTAACTACTCAGGAGGCTGAGATCTGAGAATCGAGGTTTGAAGCCAGCCCAGGCAGGAAAGTCTGTGTGACTCTGATCTCCAATTAATCACCAAAAAACTGAAAGTGGAGTTCAAGTGTACAGCACTTTTTTGCTTAAGCAAAAAAGTTCAGGGGCAATGCCTAGGCTCTCATATATACATATCATACAATGATATATTTATGTACACACACACACACACACACACACACACATATATATATATATATATATATACATACATACATCATAATACTCAATTGCTAAATACCCTTTATTGGCTCTCTGTTAGTCATGTCTAGGATTACTTAAAATCTTCTTAGCCTGGAA